TGAGTGAGTGTCTGTGTGTGTGTGTGTGTGTGTGTGTGTGTGTGTACAGCATGCTGAGCGGAGTCTGTTAATTAATATGTGTGTGGGTAAAGTTAAAAGCACAATGAGTATACAAAAGAGTTTGTTTGTTTATTTATTTATTTTTTAAGCTCAAGGTCAATTGATATTAGATATGTTTAATATGGTTTCATTATGAAGAAAATACCTTTCATTCAATCAACTTTGCATTTGACTTATTTATTTCTTAAATGTGTGTGTTAAAATTCTCTTTAAAACACGGATTCATCACCGGATGCTACAGGTCTATTAAAAGTGTGCACCGTAAAGGCCTTTTCGACGTAGCACTTTTAAACAAGTATAGGTAAAGGAGTCTTATTTTATTCTTTAAAAAAGTAGATATGTTTAACAGGATTTAGAAGGGTTTAATTTTTTATTTAAATTGTTTCTATTATTATTATATCATTTTATTTATAAATTTTATTTAGTTCTTCCTATTCCATCAACGGTCCAGACTCCAGCCCCGTAGGTGGCGGGAATGCACATATCGTTTGTTTGCCAATCGCCATAAAACAGAAAAGAAGAAGAAGAAGGACTCTTATTTTAGAAGGGGCGCTCTAGATCGAAGAGCTTCCGGTTGACAAACGGACAAAAGCCTTTTGCGGCTGTGTTCAGTGCTGGAGATAATCTGCTGCTCCTGAGCTCAAGCGAAATCAAGATGCCTCGAGTGTATATCGGCCGGCTGAGCTATAATGTCCGCGAGAAAGACATCCAGCGGTTCTTCGGTGGCTACGGGAAGCTGCTGGAGGTGGATCTGAAAAACGGGTGAGTTCAATCATCTGCACGCGACACAATAATTAAGCGCGACACGAGGAAGGTAACGCTAGAGTCCGCGCGCAGCGCAGCCGCCATTAAACCGACCCGTGATGCGAAACCTCTGGTTGGGTTTTAGCTGCAACGTTCAGGTTAGTGTTCATTCTAAACGTTGATTTTTATTTTGTCAGTTATATAACAATAGACTTCAACTGAAAATTTCAACTTAATTAATTTTTAGAACGTATGCGAGTTTGTTTTTGTTTGTGGTGGTTGATTATGCGGTGAGACTGAGCAATATTCGGCGGGAAGTGTTTTGTTTTGGTTGGTTGGTCGAAGCAGGTGATTGTTGCAGAGATGCGAGGCTGATTTACGGCTGAAGCGCCTCCATTTTCTCTCGGCCCTAGAAACAAGCCGCGGCTGGAGCCGAGATGGGCGGAGCAAGCGCGCGAAAACAATATTATAATGCGTTTACTTATTAATTCACTGTTAATTATGTTTCGACTTTACAGTCATCACTGACGTTCATGTAAAATTCTCTCTCTCTCTCTCTCTCTCTCTCTCTCTCTCTCTCTCTCTCACACACACACACACACACGCGCACGCGCACGCTTCACGTGGTCACGTGGCTTAAGAAAGCCAACACACTGTTCTTCGATTTCAACTTATTCTTTTGAAACTAGCATTTCTGACTCATTCTACAGCTTTAATGCTGTCTGTCTTTCTAGTTAAGCCTAGCAACTTTGGACTTGCTAACTACATGCTAAACCATACTAACTAATTCAACTTGCAACGAACTAAAACATGTTAGCAATATGCTAAAAATCCCTAGCAGCCACCATAAGACACCCTAGTAACCACTGTCTATCTGATGGATGTCATGGCCTTAAAACTTCTAGCTTGTAAAACAATTCAAACTAGAAACCTTAAGGTTTTTTTTGTAACTAAAAGCTTTCTTGCTGTGCTTTCTCAAGCCGGAGTTTGTTTTGACAAACCTTTTTAGGTACTTACTTTCATTGCTGGTCTGGTTGTAGTTAGTTAATCACATTGATTATGCAATTTAAGATAGATTACTGCACCAGATTTTCATTTGTATCCCATTTGCTGTTGCATCAGTTTAGTAAATTAGCAAGTTTATACTTTGTTTACTGAATGTCTTCAATTACAAGCTGAGGCTTGAATTTGTCTCAGAAGCATTTAGAGAACTGAACGTGTAAAAACAAATGCAAGGGGTTCAAATTTTATTTCACAATGGATCTTTAAAGGTAGAGAGCCTAAGATCATGAGATTGTCCTCCAGGAGCTAGGGTTGGGTACCGAAACCTGGTACCAATATGGTATAGGGCCTTTCGCACCGCTTTAGTTCCAGAACTAAATGTACAGTACTAAAGTACTGGGACGATTTTGCGCGAACTATTTCCCAGTACCATTTAAAGGGTTGCATTCGCACCGTCAGTGTGTACTAGGAACCGGTCGACAGCGATGACATTTGTGCGCGGCGTTCAACAACAGAAACAAAGAAAAACAACGTTAACAACAGGAGGATGGAGGACACTGTGATCTGAGCTTTGTTTTTGTTGTGTCTCGCGGGTTTCACAATAATGGACATGGAATGTCGACGTATACGTAAAGCGACTGAAGGAACGGAAAGGAGGACTAAGAATCTCCAACGACAACTGGCAGTGCTACATTTGCTACAAGTGCCTGCACTTCAGCGGCCATCCATCTCTGTTTTCCATACTTGCGAAATAAGTTGACAATGTTTACAGTATGT